AGTCTAAAACAGTGTCAAACATTCGAGAAAAAACAAAGTCAATCACGCTTTCTCAGAATTATATCCTATAAAGTATTAAGATGCGAAAAAAATTTGCTAATAAACTTTGGTATTTAAGGCCATTTTTTTTCCTTTCTTTTTTCCTTTTCAGGTATTATCACAATGATCGAAGGTTACTGTTGAGGAGAGAGAAGGAGGGAGAAGAGGGTTGCGGGAAGGAGATAGAAAGTAACTGGAAAGAAAAATTAACAGTTATTCCCAATAAAACAATAATGAAAACCAGAATTCAAAAAAAAAAAGAAAATTCTTTAAAGTATGTAAAAAACTACACTTCTCCTCCCTTTCTCTCTTCCTCTCCTCAGTTCCTTCTCTTCCATCTTCTTTTGAAGAAAAAAGAAAAATAAATAGAAGACCAAAGAAGTTTACGTAATCAAATTGCCTTATCATTTTCGTACGTTAATTTGCTTAATTTATAGCAGTTGCCCACTTTTTGCAGCAATCAAATTGTGTATTTGGGAAAGAACAACTTGAAAATAGATTGTTCATTAGGAACATACAGCACTGTATGGAACAAATTCATAAATTATTGTTGTCCTCTGATGACAGTTTCAAAAAAATTAAACTAGCATAAGATAAAGAAGAAGTAAAAGATGGAGGGATCAGAATGTTAACTATTAATTTTGTTTTTGTTTTGTCATTTCTTATATGTCTGATATTTGTGTCTACATCCAACTATCCAACTGAACACAGTGAGTGAAGAAGGAACGTCATCTAATGACGATGATAAGATGATGATGAAAAAGGGATGGAAATAGAAGAAAATAAAGAAGAAGAAGAATAAGTTAGAGTGTTTGTTAATTCTTCTTTTTGGTTACCTGTCAAGTGACGAGTTGAGAACAGAGTTTTTCACATCAACCCTTGTAAATATATACTGCTTGCTATTGTATGTGTATATCTGTTCTTTCCCTCGGTTCCTTGATCGGGTATGTACAACCACGGAAACCTATACTCCTCCACAGCAATATCATAGACAACAGAAAAGACAAAGAAAAAACAAATCCCCATTTGGTAGAAACGCAATGCGTTGTATACGACAAGTCGAAATTATAGTAATAATATGGTAGTAGTGATAATATGGTACTTAACTCTACAGCTTTTGTAGACTACTACCATTGAACTAATTTGTAGAACTTACCATATGTCTTATCTAGCTGTAGACTGGTCATTACTGTTACTGTTGTCGGTTGGTACTGCTGTATTTCTTTGGTTGATGCCTTTTTTTCCAGCCGTATCCACATGTTCCAGTCCTCCATTATATGGACAACAGCAACAGCAATGACCATATGAACCAATATTTTATGACAATTTAGCAACAACCTGATTAATATTAAAAGAAAAAATTTTATTTTCCTGAAGATAAAATA